AAGCATTTTAAAAGGACACAAACTCTCCATTCCACTTCTGAAATCTCAGTATAGGTTTCTATGCCACTTAAATGCTTTAAGCACTATATATATATATAAATCTTTTTCAGTGTTAGGGATCTAAGTAAACAGAATGTTATTATTTTTAAAGAAACAGAATATATAGAACTCTTCAAGCTCCCAGAGAAGTTGTCTCCTGTTCATACTCTTCCAGCCTTAGAAGAATTAAACATTTACAAGTGTTTATAATGTTGATCAAATTTATTTGTTGATTTCAGAATCAAAGAATGGTAGGGGTTGGAAGGGACATGTGGAGATCATCTAGTCCAACCCCTCTGCTAAAGCAGGTTCACCTACAGCTGGTTGCACAGGATCACATTCAGGCAGGTTTTATGTATCTCCAGAGAAGGAGACTCCACAACGTCTCTGAGCGGCCTGTTTCAGTGCTCTGTCACTCTCAAGGGAAAGAAGTTTTTCCTTATGTTCAGATGGAGCTTTCTGTGTTCCATTTTGTGCCAGTTTCCTCTTCTCCTATTGCTGGGCAGCTGTTATGGTTTGAAATGCCTGCCCCTCCTGGTGGGTGGAGATTTGAAATCTAAAACCAGGAGCAAACCTGAATAAGAAGAGGCGGAGACCTGTTCTATTCCCACTCCCCTCTTCCTGTCTTCGGGACTTCCTGCTAAGATCTATCAAGGGGGGAGGGAGGCACGCACCCCCTGCCCCTGCTGGGACTTAGCGCAGGCTACATGGCTGGTGAACAGCAGAGGATCTGTGAACAGAGCAGGTCCTGCCCAGTCAAACCTCTTACACAAAACAAAGGGAGACGGGGTCCCGGTGGTATGTGAAAGGAATCTGCTGGGAAAATCTGTTTGGGTGTTTACTGCCTCTGCTGGAGACAAACCCACCTGAGGGGTGGTGTCTGCCTATGGTCCTGGCAGCACCTACTCGGTTATGCTGGAGAACAGAGAATTCCAGTGTGTTCCCCAGAGAAATCTATCTCTAGCAGAAAGGAGCTAATGTCAGGATGGCTGACAGGGGCTGAGATAGGCAGTGTATTGTAGTTGTAAATAGTTAATAAAAGGCAACATATATTAGTTGTAAATAGTTAACAAAGGCATTGTATAATAGTTATAAATTATTAATAAAAAGTAGTGTATAGCAGTTCCGAATAGTTAGAACAAGTGATGTACAGTGATTGTAAATAAAATAAGTAATGTATGGTGATTGTAAATAGTTGCATAAGATAATACTAATAAGTTCTAAGTTCTTTCTTTCCAGTTAAACAACCCCATGGTGTCCAGTGAAAGACCCAACGTGAGATCCACAGCACACTGCTTTTCTTCACCTGAGGACCTGCCAGAAAGAGACTGCTTCATCACCATCCAAAGACAGCCTGCATTTGACCATCAAAGGAGAGAAGACCTGCAGAATAACACGCCCTGGGAGGCAACTGACTGTAATTCTCAACATAAAGGAACTTTCATCTAGTAAAAGGACTATGACAGAAGATGGGAAGTGGAAATAGAGAGGGGTGGATTATGTGATGGTTTAAAATCCCTGTTTTTTCTGGTGGGTGGAGATCTGAAATCTAAAACCAGAAGTACGTGTTGGCTTGGGCTACGCCCAGCTCCACCCCCAGGGGCAAACCTGAATGAGAAGAGGCAGAGACCTGTTCTATTCCCACTCCCCCCTTCCTGTCTTCGTGACTTCCTGCTCGGATCTATAAAAGGGGGGAGGGAGGATCTCTCTCTCTCACTCTTTCTGCTGGGACCTCCAGCTGGACTCACGCTGTTTTGTTGCTGCTGCTGTTTCATTTTTATTAACTTTCAATCGGTGCAAAGCCTTTATTACCCCTGCCTTCCTTTGTTTACTTCTTCACCTGGAAAACTAAGGGATAGAGGAGGGAGAACACAATTCTGATTTCTAAACCGAGACAACAAGTCAGTAAATTAAACTATTGAGAAAGGATCTGATTTGGTAGAGTCTGTGTCTGTCACACTCATTGCAGAAGCACTTATCTTACTAAAGGGGACCTTTTTCACCCAAACAATGCTCAGCTGTCAGACTTGCTCTAAGTGAGTGTGACTTCATTGCCTGGATGGACCTTTGAGCTGTGGCTGAGCAGAACAGTGATCAGAGCAGGACAAAATCATCTGTAACATCTGAATCCAACAAATCTCCATTTTCTGGGAGAAACAGAAGAAAAGTGACTTTCTATGCAATTTTCACCTTAGCCAATCTTCCCTGATTGAATAGATACATTTAGCACTGATTGACACGGAGAAATCAGCTGCGGATTTGGGGTCTAATTAAAACTACTTGTACTATTTTAAGGGCCATATTCTGATCTTGGCAAGCAGCGTAAATCCTTCCTGACTTCAGCAATGATTTCCCACTTTTGCTGGGTCCAATTAAATGGTGGCCACAGGGGATGGTCAGAGCTGGGCTAGCTCTGATCTGAGCTCACTGGCCTTCAAGTGTCCCATCAATGGCAGACAAAATCTCTGGGGTAAACTAGAGGATTAGGCCCATATTTTCATGCTAATCATCTAATATATTCATGTTACTTAATACCTATTTATAAGAAATCCAGATCTTAATTCCAGTTTTGTTGAACACCCCCAGATCTAAATCCACTCCTGCCAGCCAGTGAGATCCCTCATGGGGGGACTCAGAGAAGCTCTTGCAGCAGTGGGTGTTTAATTCTGGGGGTACTGGAGAAGAGCAAGCTCCTGGACCATACCCAGCCAAACGCTCCCTGCCTTCTGGGCTAAGGTGTTCCTGGCTGTGACCCCTGGGTTGTTTGCCTTAGGAGGATTGATGGGATTTGTGGGAAGCTGTGAAGTTGCTCATGGGGGGACTCAGAGAAGCTCTTGCAGCAGTGGGTGTTTAATTCTGGGGGTACTGGAGAAGAGCAAGCTCCTGGACCATACCCAGCCAAACGCTCCCTGCCTTCTGGGCTAAGGTGTTCCTGGCTGTGACCCCTGGGTTGTTTGCCTTAGGAGGATTGATGGGATTTGTGGGAAGCTGTGAAGTTGCAAGCTTGGTTCTGTCATCACAGAGCCCAGCATGAACCAGTGATGGGGCCGGGGAGCCACAAAGACAACCCAAGCTCAGGTGAAAGGATGTAGACATTCAGTTCCATTCACTTCTGACATCAGAGGCCAGGCAAAAACATGGTCCTGCTGCTTTTGACCCAAAAACTCTTCTGAGAAGGGCTGAAGCAGGCTGAGCCATGGGGCAGAGAGGGAAGGAAGCAGCACAGCTTTCTCTTTACACCGTTTTTTTCTGTGATCCCACAGCCTGTAAGACCCAGGCTGGAGATGTCCAGCCCACTCATCCTCTGCCAGCACATGGTTCTCCTCTTCCCACTTCTGCTCCTTCCCTCCTTGTCAGAGGTGGCTCCCAAGGGCTGTGCTGCTTCCCTTGAGTGGGGGAAAACCTCCAGAGGCAGGCTCCTGTGGTGTGTCTTTGAGCCCCTGGCACACAGAGCAGAGCCTGGAGGTCTGCAGGCATGTGCAACCAGATGTGGATACGGACACAGGATTCACCCAATGCTGCTCCCCCCAGGGTGCCTGAATGTGAAAAACAAGGAGATTGATGAGATGATAAAGGACGCTCCTGGCCTGATCAACTTCACCACGTTCCTCACCATGTTTGGGGAGAAACTCAAGGGTGAAAGGGCACCTGGGGAGCTGGGAGGAAGGTCGGTGGGCACCCATACCACTCCCAGTGTCCTGCCCCTCCTGGGGAAACCACCCTGTACCACTGACACAGCCCAAGGCACGCAGCTCCCCGCCGATCTCCAGGAGGCTACACAGCCACAGGGGCCTCTGCCTGGCGCTCTATAAATACACCTGAAAGATTAGATAGAGGCTGGCTGCCAGGGCGGTGGTGACACAGCCTGCTTTGTGGCCACACCACGCCTCGACATCTGCTCCTCTACATGCCACCACCCGCACTTGAGGTCCCAGCTGCAGGGTCAGCACTCCTGCAGGGCCACCTGCTTCCCAGCCTGTCCCCCACCCTCCCCCTGCAGCCTGGGGGAAGCAGGAGGCTGCGGTGGGTTCCTCCACCATCACCTCCCATGGCCGTGGCCACGTCATTCGCAGGTGCCGACCCAGAAGAGATGATCCTGAACACGTTCAAGGTGTTCGAGCCAGAGAGGAAAGGCTTGAAATCTGCCTAGTGAGTGCAGGGGTGCCTGCACACGAGGGGTTCCTTTGCCTCTCCCCCTTGGGAACACGTGAATGGCACCCACATTAAACTGCCTTTTGGCGAGAGGAAACCCAGTGCCGGTGGGAGTGGTTGCGTTTTGTGTCCTCACAGGGCGGCTGTGCCCAGCGGCAGCCCCCGCGCCCAGCACGGCCCCTGCTGCCCCCA